GGCCCTTTTTCGGGGTCGGCCCCGTTCAGGTGCCTGGCGTTCACCACCTGCTGCGCTTGCCAGGGGCCTGCCGGGCGCGGAGCCATGGGTTTCAGTGGCACCATACGTTTCTCCCTGCCTAAAAAGGGAGGTGTTTTTCTTGTTTATATATATATATATATATTTGAAACATATATATATATATTTAAAACATATATATATATATATATTTATAAATTGGTAGATAATAAAAATATGTTTTTCTCGCAACAGCTGAGGTCAAAAGGGGATGCCATTGTCTCACACCCCGAGTTCCTGGACTTGATACGTTTTAGGAAGACCGTTTTAGTGGAACAATTGTGGTTTTCGCCAACAGCTGAAAGCTATGGGTGCCTATCAGGGAGGGTTCTGGAGGGTTCTGGCCACAAGGGGATGCTATTCCCAATTTGGCCCCCCATGAGCATTTGGACTATTGGGATCTTTTCTTTTTCAGCAACACTCAGACACAATCAAAACTGCTCATCATACTACTCGTAAAGTCGCCCCGCAAAAGGAACTTCGTCTCAAGATGCTGTTGTTGTCGGGGTTCCATGTAAGTGTGCAGGGGGCTTTGCAGGCTGACTTTCTCATTGGTGCACCCAGTTTCTCTTGTCCTCTTTGGGGGGACGAGAGAGCCCCCCAGCCCAAAAACTCGCACCGGCCGTGGTCACCAGGATAGTGAGGCGATGGCTTTCGGCGGCTCGGGTTTCTCGAGCCATCACGGCGTCTGCGGATGTTTTCTCATTTGTTTGGGGTCGCTTTTTAAGACGGCAAGCCTTGCACTCCTTGTGCCACCACATTGGCGCCGAGAGAGTTTTAGATCCCGGTAGCTTGATCCATCCATGTTAACTCTTTTTCCATGAATGAGATTCAGTATCTTCGCGTGTTGACTTTGATTCTTCCGATTATTCATCGGGCAAACCGTGGCTTCCCCAAACAAGAGCGGGGAATCTAAACGGGTCGACACGCAGCCTGGGTAGGTATGGATGCTTTCACCACCAAGACAAGCTTGTGAGGAAATACCCCTTCACCTCCATACCTCCACAACTCATATCCGGAGGCCCTTGCCTGGCTGGCGCCGCGGCTGCCGCAGAAGGCACTGATGGAGTGTGACTCCTGAAAAATTGCCCCCCTGGCCCCCCCCCCAAGCAGACCCCCACCACCCCCGGTTTTTGGCGCATTAGCCACCCAGCGCCTGGGCCAATGTGCGTGTACTTCGGTTTTCAGGGTGGGGTGGGGGTGGGTTGGGCTGGGGTGGGGTGGGGTGGGGGATGGTTACGTTCACTCACAAGCACATCCCCTCTCGACTTTTTTCTAGGGGAGTGTGCCAGATGGTTACGTTTACTCGCCATTGTTAGCGCAGCCACTAAATCACATTTATCTAATCTCTCTCTTACGTCACAAGGTTCGGACGCCCCTTTTACAATTGTCTGGCCAGTGGTGACTGCATGAACTTGGTATGGATCGAAGTCCTGTGAGGCTCCGCGAATGGAAGCCCTGGTTTGTCTAAAGGGGTTGAGTGCCAGGAGACTTCTGAATTATTCAAGTTGACTCCTGGGCAACAGGCAACGCAAAACTCCTTCATCCTGAACCTGGAAAGCAACTGCGGTATCTTGGCGTTCTCGAGTGGGGCCTCTGATCTCCGAGTCGTTTTGTGCCAGGCGGCAGATGAAGCGCTGCAAGGCAGACACCCCCAGGCGCGAGAGGAAGACGAGGGAGTGTGGCGAAAACCCCCGCAACCATGGAAAATATGGGTATGACTTGTCAACATAAGGATTTGGACTCCCCGAACATTGGCCATTGCGCAGGTTCGGGTTGGGGGGGGGGGGGGTAGGCACAGGTAGCCCAACAGCCAGCGCACATGTGGCATCTTTGGTTGAGGTCAACACTCGACCCCCGCTTGTTTGAAGATAAGCTGGCAATGCCTTTGGACTACATTTTCCAGTGTGGGAGTGCGCACTCTTCAACTATACTTATGGTCCTATTTTGAGGGTGCTCAACTTGGGGGGTTGTTTTTGAGACAATTCCTATGTATGGCTAGTTTAGGGCTTGGTCAAAGAAACATCGGCCGGACCAGCGCTTTCGAGCCGTTTCCAAGTTCACGAACAGGATTTGGCACATCACGTAGCTGACCGTGTCGCCTTCCCGGTGGAGGGTCATACCATCGCCGCTACCTGTCGAAGTCTCTTTGTGAGTGCCAATCCCCCCCAGTTGAGCAGCGCACAACAACCGATGTATTGGTCATTAAAACAGGTGGTTCTACTGGCCTGGGAACCAAAGTAAGTTTGTCGCAAGGCCGACATGAACTCAACAGTCAATAGGTTTCGGGCACTCAGGTAGCTTTCCCCCAGGGCACGGGTGCAGGGTGTACCTGTTGGCCTAGCGACTCTCTGGAACCCGAAGCAAGAGAGAAGCAGGCTAACGTCCCCGAGCCAACCGCACCCTGCCGTGGATGGACAAAATCCCGCACCAGTTGGGCCCGGAGTACCGCAGTCAATTTGGTGCCAAGGTACCAAAAGAGGGCTTACAGTTGCCGGTCAAAGCGTTTTTAGTCTTTGTTTTCATCATTTGCCCATTGACCTTTTTTGCGGGGCCGTTTGGTCCACCTCTGATGTTTGGTTCTGACTCGCATAAGGTTCCCAACATATCCCTTGTGGCTGGTGGTGAGCAAAAGGCCTGGTGTCGCATCAGTTGCAATAGTTGTCCCCCTTTTGCACCACCACCCTCGGTTGGGACTTGGTACTCTTCGTTCCATGGGAGGGACATCAACGAAGACATCCCAACTAGTCGGAGGAGCCGCGCACCTCCCTGGCGCCCTTTGCCTTCCACCTGCTCATGGCGCTGCGGGTGGCGGCGGGGGCGCCCTGTTGGCCTTTTCGATTTTCGGGAGCTCTGAAAGGGCCAGCAAAAAGATCGAGCTGGACTTTGGGTACTGCAAAACCACAAGTCATGAGTATAGAATATAGCATGTGGCTCGTTTGGCCTTTGGATTTATTTTGCATGAGCTACCCCCAGCTGTAGTGGGTACACTTTGCAGTTTCCTGATTGCCATTATTGTTTTTTTTTGAAGGCTGGGCTCCAGACGTTCTCGAGACTTGTCGACCAACTTCTCAGCACGCCAGAGGGATGCTTTGGGTCAGCTCTGGTTTCTGGGAGTTGCCTCCAGAGATGCCATCAGGCAGGGCAAGACGTGGCAAGACGTGCACCTTGTCACAAGAGTATTGGAAAAAAACCTCTTGGGGTGCCCAAGTGATCTGGGGTGCCCAAGTGATCCTCTTGCCCACCTTGTCACAAGAGTTTGTCTTTTGACCCCAGCAAAATCAGTGGGCTTCCGTCTGGGTTTCCCTTTCAAGCAACCCGAAGAAGTGGAAAAAGACGAGGCACCTATGAGAAATGCGCCAAGGTTTGGTGCGTTTGACGGGTCTCGGCTTTGCGCGCCACGTGCCGTGCCTCGCTGAGGCGGCACAGGGTGAGCCGTGAGTCCGAGCGAAATTCGCATGCGCGACATCCGCTCGCTGCGGTGTCGGCTTCTGACGTTCCTTTCGGGAAAGGGTTAGTCAGGAAGTGACTTTCAAACGAAACACAACTACCTTGGAAACCAAAAGCAGAAGGCGCTTAGGATGTGTTTCTTTTCAAGTTTGGGCTAAAAAACGAGTATCCAAGTTGACCATGCTCCTTGTTGACTGCATCGTGATTTACCAGAGCCGTGCTTTGGGCCACGATTTGTTGACTCGCAGCATGTTTGCTTGCCGGTCAGTTCTCTCCCCAAATGTTGCAACGCCCATTTTCCCATTGTGGTGTTGCGTAGCACGGGTGGAAAGTTCATTCCAACATTGCCAACTAAGAAAGCAAGAAAAGGCGAGCCTTAGGACCTTCCGCTAGTTATGGTAGGAAGCTGAGTTGTCCCCTTGAACGTCAAACAAAAGGATGTCTGCTTGTTTCTATTGGGAGCCGAAGAGATGTTTCTCACAGATCAAAGGGTTTTGTTGCACCACAGCCCAGCCACCACCGGCACTGGCAGTGCACCTGAGAACAGTGCCGCGATGTGCACGTCGAATTCGATTAGATAGGGGTAGCATCGATGGCGGATGTGCACCTGCCACTCTTGGAGTGGTGGTTGTCGTGCTTCCAGCCAGGAAATGTAGCTGTCCAACTGCGATAAATGCAGGGTGCAGTCGAGCAATTTGGCGATGTGTGCGATTCCTCCGTCCTTGTTCCAAATCCTAGTCCTTGCCGGCAAACCGAACGGAATTATTCAGACGGATTTCTGGGAGCTGAGCCGCACAAAGGGCGAGAGGCTTCGCCGTGACAGAGACTTGAACCGGAGCGGCGCCAAAGTTTTCGGCATGCCCAGGCTTCACCGGTCTAAGCTTTGAAAATCGCAGCAGACGGAAACAGGGGCCTCCTGTGCGGCATGTTCTGTGTGCCAAGGCTTCTGAAACTCATACGAGAGAAGCTTCAGCGCAGTTGGACCCTTGCGAATGGACTGTTGAGCTTTTGGTTGGCGCAGTTGGCGGTTTCTTCCACAGTCCGCAAAAGCTGGCAGGAAATTCCCGCGGGGAGCAAAATGAACATGTCTCGTCGTGTTGGGTTCTTGCCGAAGACACCAGCTATGGGAACATCTGCCAGTTTTGTCCTGGGGTTTCAAAGGTTGCAAGTTTTAGTGTTGCCTCTTCGCTAGATTGTCAAACTTGAACCGTGAGTTTCTGGTTTGGATTGCGCCACTGCATGTGGCACACAAGGAAGCCACACCGTTGGCAGTGCTTTGTTGCCCCCACTGCCCTTTTGGTTGAGCAAAGTGTGGCGGACTTTGCTTCAATGCCCACAAAAAGCAATATGACCAGAAGGGGCCTTCCGCCCTCCCCCAGTTTTGCACATCACCATTTGGTTGCCCTCGCGAGGGGAGTCTCCTTTTGGGGGGGGTGATGTTCAAAGGGGATTGTGTCGGCCGCTTGCGCATTTGGACCCCAGAATCGCTGCAGGTGAAGGAGAAGGATCGCCCCTCCACCAGCCAGAAGAAGAGGCTCCCAGTCCTTGCCGTCGATGTGTTTGTTACAAGTTCGTGGCCATGGCAGTCTTTGGGCTCATTCCTGAGACGGCTCTTGGGGAAAAGGCGCCTCTGTCCTCCCTCCAACAATCATGGAAGCTGACAGAAAGGCGTGGGAGAACTACTTTGATTTCTTGAGAATCTTCCTGTCCACTCCCATGATTGTTGGAAAGAGGGTACAAACTGTTCTTTCCGGGCTTCTTGCTCCGTTTCCTTTGTTTGCTTTGTGTTCTTTGCTTTGCGTTGTTTTCTTTGTTTGCTTTGCTTTGCGTGGCAACGTCTACTTTTAGTCAGGGCACAAGCCTTGTTTTTACCCAAATACTGGTCATGCTGGGGGTGTCGACCAC